GGAAATTCTCCTCATTACTGGGAAAAACCCTTGGAAAATTGTCCTTATCCCACAGGAGAACCTCTAGGAAATTCTCCTCATCTCTGGGAGAACGCCATGGGAAATTCTGGCTCCCCTCAGGGGTAAAGGGATTTATACACGCAGGGGTCAAGAGGGGCGAGATCCCGGGAAAAAAGCCCTGATCCCATGGGAGAAACACTGAAAATTCTCCTGATCCCATGGGAGAACTCCTGGGAAATTCTCCTCATCTCATAGGAAAGACCTTGGGAAAATTGTCCTTATCCCATGGGAGAACCCCTGGGAAATTCTCCTCATCCCTGGGGGAACACCGCTGCCTTGGGTGATCAATGGGGGCTTTGGGAAATCCCGGTTCCCCTCAGGATCTGGGAATTCTCCCAGCCCTAAAATACCCGATTGCCCCTGAATCCCATGGAAATGGAGCAGGAATGGGACAGGAATGTTTTCCCGGAGCTTTTCCGACCTTAAACCACCCAATTTTCCCCCAAATGCCCCGGAACAGGGCAGGAATGGAGCAGGAATGTTTCCCCCGGAGCTTTTCCAGCCCTAAACCGCCTGATACCCCAAATCCCACAGGAATGGAGTAGGAATGGGGCAGAAATGGAGCGGGAATGGGGCGGAAATGGGGTGGTAATGGGGGGGGAACGGGGCAGAAATGGGGCGGGAATAGAGCAGGAATGTTTCCCCCCGAGTTTTTCCAGCCCTAAACCCCCTGATTTCCCCCAAACCCCCCCGGTACAGGGCAGGAATATTCCCCCACAGCTTTTCCGACCCTAAACCACCCCGATTTCCCCCAAACCCCGGGCCCAGGGCAGGCTCATCCCCAGCCTCACCGGTGTGTGTTTTCATGTGCTCGTCGAAGTACTGCTTCATGTTGAAGTCCTTCCCGCACCACTGGCACATGAACTGCTTGTGCCCGATGTGGATGCTCATGTGCGAGCGCAGCTGGTACTTGTACTGGAAACGCTCGTCGCAGTTCTGCGGGGACGGGACGGGGGGGATGGCACTGCCATGGCTGAGATTCCATGACATCCCAGTGCCATCCCATCCCATCCCATCCCACCCCATCCCAGTGCCATTCCACCCCATCCCACTGCCATGGCTGACATTCCATGACATCCCGTGACATCCCAGTGCCATCCCAGTGCCATCCCATCCCAGTGCCATCCCATCCCATCCCATCCCATCCCATCCCAGTGCCATCCCATCCTGTTCCTGTTCCCACTGCCATCCCATTCCCATCCCATTCCCATTCCCATTCCCATTCCCATCCCCTTCCCATCCCATCCCATCCTGTTCCCATTCCCATTCCCATTCCCATTCCCATTCCCATTCCCATCCCATTCCCACTGCCATTCCCAGGATCATTCCTGATGGATTCCCGGGATCATTCCCGCCCCATTCCAGGATCATTCCCAATAGATTCCCAGATCATTCCCGGGATCATTCCCAATGGATTCCCGGGATCATTCCCAATGGATTCCCAGATAATTCCTGATGGATTCCCGCCCCATTCCTGGGATCATTCCCCATGGATTCCCAGATCATTCCCGGATCATTCCCCATGGATTCCCGGCTCATTCCCGATGGATTCCCAGGATCATTCCCCATGGATTCCTGGGATCATTCCCGATGGATTCCCAGCTCATTCCCACCCCATTCCAGGGATCATTCCCGATGGATTCCCAGCTCATTCCTGCCCCATTCCCAGATAATTCCCGATGGATTCCCGGGATCATTCCCAATGGATTCCCGGGATCATTCCCAATGGATTCCCAGATAATTCCCGATGGATTCCCGCCTCATTCCCGGGATCATTCCCCATGGATTCCCAGATCATTCCCGGATCATTCCCAATGGATTCCCGCCCCATTCCCGATAGATTCCCAGCTCATTCCCCATGGACTCCTGGGATCATTCCCGATGGATTCCTGGGATCTTTCCCCATGGATTCCCAGCTCATTCCCCATGAATTCCGAGATCATTCCCCATGGATTCCCGGGACCATTCCCCATGGATTCCCAGCTCATTCCTGATGGATTCCCGGCTCATTCCCAGATCAATCCCGATGGATTCCCAGCTCATTCCTGATGGATTCCCGGCTCATT